TTAAGGTGTCCGCAAGGGTTGGCGTACATGATTTCGAAAATCACCATTTTGAAAATCACGATTTCGAAAATCACGATTTCGAAAAACCACGATTTCGAAAGTCTCCATTTCGAAAGTCACCATTTCGAAAAGACACCATTGCGAAAAGACACCATTTCGAAAATCACCATTTCGAAAAGTCACGATTTCGAAAATCACCATTTCGAAAATTACCATTTGGGAAACACAGGATTTAGCAACAGCCCATTTCCCAGTCGCAGAAAAAACGATTTTCGTTGGCTGGTTTGAGGTTCGGGGGTCTATTTTTCCACTGGAGATATGATTAATTTCATTATAGACACCACTAAAACAATTTCTATTACATCACTAGTCATATCCGAGAGAAATCGTGGTTTTTCGACACTGCAATTTTTATACTCGTTTGAAGAGCGGGTCTTTTCGAACTGGGATTTTTTCGAAATGGTGTTTTTCGAAATGGTGATTTTCGAAATCGTGACTTTTCGAAATGGTGTCTTTTCGAAATGGTGACTTTCGAAATGGTGACTTTCGAAATCGTGATTTTTCGAAATCGTGATTTTCGAAATGGTGTTTTTCGAAATCGTGATTTTCGAAATCGTGACTGGGAATCGTCCGCAAGGTATGGTTTGTGACTACGAAAAGTGAAAAATCGGGGAAAATTGGAAAATTTAGGAGTTTCGGAATTTTTTAACCTGACCGATACCATATTTTTGACAGTTTTGAGGCATTTATGGTGGATAAAAATTCGAAAACTGCATAATTTTGCTGAGCTTCTTCTGCTTAAATAATTATTAATTTTTGGTACGATTTGCCGGCTACGCGACACTCCGCCGGATGAACGGTCAACAAATAACGGCAGACCGGGGGGATTCGGGGGGTCCAAAGTAGTAACGGGCACCGGGAAAACATCCTGGGATGAAAAATGGGGGGTTTCGAAAGCAGCAGATTTGTTCGAGCTGTACTTCCTGGTGCGGGTTTAAAGGGAGTGTGACGTCAGTCTTACCAGTTTCAAGCTAAATTGGCTTCACGGACAAGGTCGATACTGGCAAAATACAGGGTGTCCCAAAAAAAACGAACCATCTGGCATTTCGCCGTGTTACATGCAATCGGCTCAAAATGGGACCAGAGGTGTATCAGACCCTAAATAACAACAATCCTGACTTATAGCCCCGTAGCTATCGTCGTTCTCGAGTTATAACGAAAATACTGTTTTTCATGCAATTTTAAACAGTTTTTCGGCTATCTTTTTTTGGACTTTGCATCGATTTGCATCGATTTCCGGCTACGAATCCCTAATTTCGCTTAACAACTGGGCAATTTTGCGTTGTAAAAATCGCTTAAATCGAAGCTTATTTAATTAATTTTACACTGGAAAAAATTTCTTAAGGTAAAGAAGGCCTTCCGGATCATTTTCACTTAATATTAAAGGGGTCTAATTCCACGAAAACCCTATGAAAAATACAAAATAAAGTTTGTTTTTGCCATAACTCGAGAACTACTGTAGCTACAGAGCTATAATTCAGGATTGTTGTTATTTAGGGTCTGATACACCTCTGGTCCAAATTTGGGACCGATTGGATGTAACACGGCGAAATGCCAGATGGTTCGTTTTTTTGGGACACCCTGTAGATGTTTTGGAAATTCATTGCTTTTGTGAGAGAAAGTGTGTTCCAGAAAAAGCTCCCCTCACGCATTTCTCCATATTACATCCGATCAGCCCCAAAATTGGAGCATATTTGGATCAGACCTTAAATAACCACAATCCTGAGTTATAGCCCGTCTGCTACAGTAGCATTCGAGATACAACAAAAAATAAACTTTATTCTCCGTTTTTTATAAGGTTTGCGTCGGAATCGACCCTTCAAATATCAGGGGGAAAATGAGGTGGCAAGCCTTCTTTACTCCTAGAAATTTTTTCCTGATAAGAATCAATACGATAACCGTTGATTCAACAATTTTGATAACCCAAATTCACCCTCGATATTAAGCGAAATTGGGAGTCGCAGCCGGAAGTCGAAGCAAATCGATGCAAAGTCAAATAAAAAAGCCGAAAAACTGTTAGGGATCGCGTAAAAAATAGTATTTTGGCAATAACTCGAATTGGGAAAACAGGCTTATAAAGATGTTTCAAGGTCACGTGAATTTGTGGCTAAATTTAATTAGGAATTACCGTCATTCTGGTGTCTGCTAAAAATTTTGTTCAGGCGCTTCCGAAATATTTGGCACGCCTTTTTTAAATTTTTTTTAATTTTGGCAAAGATGTTTCAGGTTTTTGCCGCTTGGTAGCTGCTTGTGCGTAGATACTGTAATCTTTTTTGGTGGTGTTTCTCACATTTTCCCCCGCAACCCCCATTATTTTTCCGGGTTTCTTCGTTGAGATCTAGAGTGGCTTGGCCGCGATGATATCCGCGGGCAGGTGGGGCAACCGGGAAAACATCCCATTTTGATGAAAAATTATTAAAGACCCCGGCTACGATACCCGGAAAACCCGATTTTGATTTAGCCGCCAAACAACGGTAGACACCTCTAAAGTCGGTAGTCTTTTTCCAGGGGGGAAGGCATTTGTTAAAAACAACCGAGTCGTATGAGAGGTCCCAAGGCGAAAACATCAAATTGACAGGGTTTAATAAAGGTATCGTCTACAAATTAAATTAGAGATTTTCAGAATTCAGAATTTTTGATATGTGCCCAATGTTTCAGACATTTAGCATTTGTAACAAAAACAAAATATGGGAATCCGGTAATCTTTTTCAAGTGGGAGGCATTTATTAAAAACAACCGAATCGCATGCGTGGCGCCGAGGCGAAAACATCCGATATACACGGTTTTAATAACGGTATCGAAAAACGTCTACAAATTAAATTAGACCAAATTAGAAGTTTGGCGCGTGAAATTTTATGTATTAAGCTTACAAGTATGCTACTCAAGAATTTTCCCACTATTAAGCTGTAGTGCCCGCATAAAATATTACGCTTTCAAAAGTTTTCCACGCTGCAAAACCAATGTTCCAAGCCTCAAACTGAACAGGTCAAGAGCCTTCGAAATAATGCGAGGCGCCGTAGCACGTATACGTAAATAAATTTTTCGTAAATTGGTTGTTCGTTATTAACTCAGTAAGTACAAATCATATTTGAAGATTTGATAAGTTCAGATCTTTTGAAATCTCTAAAAATCAACGTTTTAACCACAGGTCTGACCGCGGAAGGAAACTTTCATTTAATGCGCGGCGCCGTATCATTGTTTGTAAACAACCGCATGTCACTGGTCTACGATAAGAATAGCAATAAGAAGGACGGAAACAATGGATTTAAGCATTTTACTGGGAAAGGGTGGAATCGTACTCTTCGTAGAATTATGTTTCACCTATCCAATGATTCATGGCAAATGACAGGGCCCCAATCAGTGGCAGAATACATGCGCTTCCAATTGAGTGGTTCGAAAATGCTAAAAACTCGCAGAATTTGCGGGATTTTAACAAAGTGTGGGAAACCGATGAAAACGCTCATTATGAAAGAATGTTCCATGCCAGCCAGTGGTACGATTTGAAGCCAATGTAATTATTATTGGGGCAGTAAATCTCAGATCTCGAACTTCCTTGAAGAGTTGAGTTAGCGATTTTCAGTAATGTTAGATACCCCGCGCCCAGGTATAATGCCACTTATATTTACCATTTTTCATTTGGTATCGCCATTTTTAATTACTATTAATATTGAAGCATGCCTTCTGACGTACAGATTACCCCAAGCTTCGCTTTCCGGATCCCTGTAGGTTATACTACCACATAGTTGAGAGTAGAGTGAGGGAGCGGCAGGCCTCCTCAGGCTTTCTTGGGCCGAATTGCATTTCCGCGCCTGCCGACGCCTGGCGGAAGCCTAAGGATTTAGGCAGGCTTTTTATGCAATGCGTAAAAACATGTTAATCTGGTTACTGCATCTGAAAAGTCGGTATCTTTGCCGCAATAACAAATTACAAGGATGCCGAAAGTGGGAAAAATATAGGCAAGATGTCAGGAGAGGCAATTGCATCCCCCGCCCGTTTGATCCGCCTCTTGGCTTTTGTGTATCCGCGTGCTATTAACGTATCGCGCCGTAAGGTTTTTCAAAAACAGTACCCTAACTTTGTAGAATATCCTTGCACCCAATACAGTTCTTCGACTCCCCGGAAGTTTAAAAAAATTCCTTATTTGTTCGGCAAAACTTCGAATATTCTACGACTTTACATAAAATTTCCAGATAAAGCCTGACTAATTAGAGGTCAGGCGTACTTTGCATAGCCCAGGCTCAGCCTAGGCGATGTAAATCAAAAAAACCTGAGGAAGCCTAGGCAAGCCTAGGCTTTAGCCTAGGCCTCCCTCACTCTAGTTGAGAGTAGTTGTGCTGTATGGCAGTACAGTACCGTAGTAAGATTTCTTCTTAGGGAATTTCTATTAATACAGTGTCCAGTGCTACCATTGGTGTCGTCCCGATCCGCACGCAACTGACTGATAGGGGACGCGGGGTACCCAGTCCCAGAGACCAATCGGGCCTTTGGTGTCACTGTAGCCATGCGTACAGTACCGTAACCGTACGTGCAATATGTCTTCCTTTTTCTGCTGTTTGTTCACCCCTTGCGGGGTGTGCGCCGTTCCCAGCGGCAAGTGCAATGCTGGGCCGACGCTGTCCGGCGAGAAGCAAGCTTCTGCGAACCGAACCGATTCCAAAAATATGTTAATCTCTATACATCCACATGGGATGTGTATCGGAGATTAAGCCGATAAGAACTTTTAACGTTTATTCAGACAATGCTCGGCCCGGGGGCCGGATCAAAAGTGGATCACAATTTCGAGAAGAATGCATAGAATGACGCGCAGGTCATTTAGAATTAGGGGTTACAGCATTTTAGAGGAGAAATGACAAGAATCAGTAAATCACAGAAAGATTTTGGATTCAGGTGGGGTGGGGCACGAGAAATTGACAATTTGAAAAATGAGAATCGCTTCTTTAGGCTTGGTATTGACGTTGCCCGCAGACGTGCTCGATGTAGATGTCCTTGGACCAGCGTACCGCGTCGGCGACCATCAACTTCTTCATCAGACCAGCGTACTTGACCGAGATGGCGAGGCGGCGCAGCACTACTTCGTTTCCTTGATCCCATCCACCGAGCGGACCAACGATGAAGGCGCCCAGGAACGTGTCGTAGCCGTCCGCGTTGAACTTGTTGAAGATGTCGGCGTACTTGCGCAGCTTCCCGTCACGTGCAGATTCGAAGACGCTCAGGTCGTAGTTCTCGAATGACATTGTCACATCCACGATCGTCACACGCTTCTTGACATGGTCGATGAGGGCGAGATCGGGGCGTAGTTGACCATCCGTGCCGGGGATCTTGACGTTGACGTATTTTGTGGTGGTGTCGGGCAACTTGATGGCGTTGATGAGTCGGTCGACGATGGCATTGTGACGGAGGGTGATCGCATGGTTGTGGACTGGACAATGATTGAGCACATGGGCGACGCTCTCGATCGTGGCGCCACATCTGCGGCAGGTCTTGTCATGGTGATCACGGGCACGCTTGCATCCATTCAGCGGCACCACGTCGAGTCTTGCACGGTGAACGAAGCGCCAATCCGCAAAGCGGAGGAAGCGTCCGTCACGCATGAAGTGGTTGGAGCAGGGCTGGCGAGCGGTGATGTTGTAGACCTTCCCTGACTCTTCTTGGCGGTGAGGTGAACGAGTTGAGCTTGATGGACGGCGCCCTTGAGCATCTTCTCACACGTCTTCTTGGTGACGCCACATCCGAGCACGAGCAGTTGGATCTTGTCGTTGGCCCAGGTCCACTTCACGTCGAGCTTGTCCGTCTTGACCAGCCGTCCCGTTGCTTGTCGCACTCTTGTCCACATGTTGCGGGTGTCGGCGTAGTACGTCTCGAAGGCACCGTCGAGCTTCTGGTTCAGGTAGTCGGCCACTTCGGAGTCGGTTGGCGCACGCTTGATCTTCTTCTGTACAGCCGTACGGAGCAGCTGAGCAGTCATTGGGCCGAGATCAGTCGACTCCAACAACTGGACAGCATGCACCAGCTGCATCACGTCGGCGAGGGTCTTCGTCTGGATGAAGCCGAGTCCTCCCATCTCGTTCGGCAGGTAGAGCACTTCAGGGCTTGCTTGACTTGGCAGGTTCAGCCACATCTTGCCGTATTTCTTGAGCTTCTTGTCGAAGGGGATGAGGTGCTTCTTCTTCTCGACGTGGCCGTTCTTCAGGTGGAAGCCGATGCACGGGAGGATGAAGGTTTTGACGGCATCAGCCTTCTGCCAGGGGGCGAGCAGCGAGTTGTGGATCTTGTCGAGGCACTGGTGCATTTTGTTGATCGTCTTCTCAGCCGATGAGCCTTGATAGTAGCCGGTGGGGACGCCGAGATGTTCGTAGTGGTCGTTGGAGTCGAGCGTCACCATCGGAGAGCCTTGAACGGAGTACTTGATCGGCATGGCAGTGTGCTTGTTGGCGTTGACGACGAGACTTGCGCACTTCTTGGCGTTGTACACGAGCCCCAGCCATGTAGAGACTTCGGACACGGTCTCAAGCACAGCATGTAGATCGTCGGGATCCTTGGTCACGATGGCAAGGTCGTCAGCATAGGCGAGCACAGACACCGTCCTTCCATTGATCACGAAGCCAGCATCCATGTTGATGACGGCACGGATGACGGGCTCGAGGGCGAGGTTGAACACGATCGGCGAAAGTGGACAGCCCTGCTTGACACCCGCTTGAATGTTGATGGCCGGAGTCGGACTAGTAGAACTTCGGACGCATGTTGTGGCACCTTCGTAGAGACGACGAATTTCTTCAATCGCCACAACCGAAAGGCCAGCGTATTCAAGGCATCGGAAGAGCGAGGCATGCGGGACGGAGCCGAACGCGTTGGAGAGGTCGAGCCAGGCAATGGCGCACTTGCTGTCGATCCGTGTGTCGCGACGAGTCTCGACGATCACGGACTGGAGGAGGAAGTTATGTTCTGTGCATCCATCGACCGGCATGAAGCCCTTCTGCTCGTTGGAGATGCGGTTGTGGAGGCGGGCCCATCTACCGAGACGGCGAGCCATCACGGACGCGTACAACTTGGCGACGGTGTTCGAGAGAGAGATGGGCCTCCAGTTGGAGACGTCATCCTTCGGGCCTTTTTTGTGCACCAAGATGGTGTTCGAGCCGTTCCAGGAGCTTGGGATGTACTTGAGGCGGCGGACGGCATTCATGTAGGCGGCGAGGACCTTGGCACCCGGGTCGAAGAGCTTCAGCACAGAGTAGCGGACACCATCGGGACCAGAGGCAGTGTTCTTGACGTGGAGCAGACGATCCCAGAGTTCTTGTGGCGTGTAGTCGTCAGCAAATGGATTGGAGTCGCCATCTGGGATGTCATTGTCGTGTTGTGGAACCGATCGAGGGAGTCGGCTTTGGTCGGGCACATCAGTTCTTTCGAACACTTTGGAGAAGTGGTTGTGGAGGTCGTCACTCGGGATATCGCAGAACGGCGAAGAGTCCTCCGTGATTTCCTTGTAGGCTCTCGGCCGAGACCGACGGTAGAGCTTCTGGATCCGAGAGGCGGCTTTAGGGCAGTAGCGGGCTTGGGCACGTCTCCGTCCTGTAGGTGTGCTTGGTGGCGGCGGACGAGCTCGGGCTGGTGGCTTGCGTGGCGGCGGCTTGTCACGTATCGAGTATTTGGCCTTGATCACGGTAGTCAGTTCATCGGCCAGCTTTTCCAAGTCTGCTGTGTCGGCCACATCCGTGAACCGTGTGACCCATCCATCTTGGGAGATGCCCATGAGGGGGTCAGGTTGATGAGGAGCATCTGGAGATGGTGGACGGCTTGGCGGCGGGCTTGTGGCTTGAGCACGGGCGGGGCGACGCACAGTGTTGACGGGCGTGACGAACGTCTCAGACTCGCTATCACGGGAGCGCACCCTTGGACTCACAGGCTGGGGGGGACCCAGGTCTGATCCGCCGTGGGCTATTCCGAGCGACAACGGGCTGGACGGGTGGCGGTGGCTGCGTGGCGGCTTGTGTGCAGGCGACGGTGTTGGCTTGGTGGTACTTCACCGCTTTGATCGTATCAAAGCGGGTCCGGCAGACGGCACATCGGAACTTGATGGCGAGGTGGTGGGTGAGCTTGAGATGCCGCGTGAGTCCCCCCCTGCAACTTATACGGTCCCGCTGCACAAATACGACACTGGTAGGTATCGATTGGCGTTGGTAGGTAATAGAAGCCGGGGTCCTCTGGGCAGGCGTAGTCGTCCTCCTCGTCCTGGTCTTCCGGGGCTCCGTTACGGCCCCCGTCCGAATCGGCCTCCGAGGAGGACGAGTCGACGGGCGGCACGTAGACGTCGCCCGCCGGAATCCGCAGGCTGTCGTCGTCCTCGTCGTCGTCGTCTTGGGCCATCTTGGTTGGCGCGGTGGTTGAAGAGACGATAATCGAGTGGTCCGATTTGGCCCGGTAGTCTGTCTCAAGTCGATATCAAGGGCGATAAACCGATGAGTAACCGAAAGGAGGTCTTCCCGTAAAGATCAAGTGCGTTTATCAGTCCGATAAGAACTTTTTACTAACATTGATCTTAGCCAAAGGCCAGAGTAGTTGTGCTGTATGGCAGTACAGTACCGTAGTAAGATTTCTTCTTAGGGAATTTCTATTAATACCGTGTCCAGTGCTACCATTGGTGTCGTCCCGATCCGCACGCAACTGACTGATAGGGGACGCGGGGTACCCAGTCCCAGAGACCAATCGGGCCTTTGGTGTCACTGTAGCCATGCGTACAGTACCGTAACCGTACGTGCAATATGTTTTCCTTTTTTTCTGCTGTTTGTTCACCCCTTGCGGGGTGTGCGCCGTTCCCAGCGGCAAGTGCAATGCTGGGCCGACGCTGTCCGGCGAGAAGCAAGCTTCTGCGAACCGAACCGATTCCAAAAATATGTTAATCTCTATACATCCACATGGGATGTGTATCGGAGATTAAGCCGATAAGAACTTTAATTACACATTGATCTTAGCCAAAGGCCAGAAGCGATACAGGCTTCATCAGTTGGTGTCTCATATCCGGTTGGAGTGGGCCAGGCGGGGGCCGGGGTGATGCCGGGCCTGGAAGGGCACAGAGGCGCGCAGGGGGGGTCGGGTCAGGAGAGGCTACCCGGCCGTTTTGGGTGACCGGGGCAGTGCTCCCAATTGGAAATTACGATTCTACTTTATTAAATTAGTATAGATTAGTTAAATTTAGATTATAGCTAGTGTTTACACTTGGAGACATCTGGACGATATCTGGTTTGGGGGCTGGGGCGCCTCCCTTGAGGCCTGGATGATAAGGATTGGGGGGGAGGGGAGGTCATGGGCACGATATTGTATGCAAAAGGATAAATAATAAGTTTTGAAAACTATTTACGCATTTAAAATCGCTATTAAGAAGTATTATTAAATGTTATCGTAATTTAGTCCCATCTTGTATGTTCCCATGGCCCAATAACTAGCGATTTAAGCTATTGGAGCCACGCTATAAATAAATCTTGATTACGAATCTGGATTTAAAGTTTTAAATCTTTTATTTTTAAAATTAAACTTATTGTTTTGTGAAATTTATGTGTTGCAAATGCTACCTTAAGAAAACGGCTGGTCGGTTCGATAATTTCATGATCTGTCAATGGCATGTTTTTTTTGGTATTGATGAATCGTGCAAAAAATGTTTTTCAAAAAACTGTGAATATAAAAATTCCGCTGAAGCGGTAATGCATTAATCGAGTTGATTAAAAATTACGTTACGTTGACTGATTCTTCTGCTGAGCACCTATTCTATAACCCCAAAATTTGGTATTTTTTAAAGTTAAAAGCCGACACGCTCTTTCTCTCGCTCTCTCTCTCTCGCGCTCTCTCTCATGTCTGTCTCTGTCGCCCCGGCAGGTTCTCTTTTTTCTATTCTTGACTTTTATACACATCAAAGTTGAAATTTAAAATGATTTGTTTCGTAGCTCTAAGTATCTAGGCGTTTGTTTGTAACCAGAATGCTATCGTGGCGGCAATGGTTCGGCATATTTCGAAAAATGCGCTTCCAAGCATTTTCGATTCGTTAATTTGTTTTCCATGACACGCAGCCGTTAAACACCAATTTCTTGTTTTGCTTAGTGTAGGGGAAATAAATAATTTGCCAAAGTTCCATGGTTTATAATTTAGTAATCATGTTTCATCATAGGAAGAATTAAAATGATACTGAAGACCACGAATCATTTGAAACTCCATAGATCCGTTCGAACCATCTTTGAAACATAAAATTTTAAAATTAAAAATCCAGCCCTTTTAGGCCTCGACATTTGTTTATTTTCCTTTCTGTCATAGCCAAATACAAGCCTTATCCAGGTAATTCCTGCATTTTTCTCACGACGCGCCACGCGTCCGCAACGCATCTGGACACATTTCGCTCATCTTTTAAAAGCTACTGATGTGGTATTAAATGTTTCTAAAATTCCGGATGTTTCATTGCCTGAAATTTCTATCCTATACCGCCAAAATCCACTTATGTTCGTGGTATTCCAAATTCAGCAGCATCGCCTTGTTATTAGTGTTTGTGGGACCGTATTTTGGATATTTTCGATGTCGGTCTCTCGTGGCGGCGCTACACAACGATACTATACACTTCCCGGGTCCCCGTTGGGCCCTCGGCGAGAGAGAGAGAGAGAGATAGAGAGAGAATTTTTGGCCAAAAGCAAAAAAGATACGCAAAGCGTAGGACCGAACCAGCGACTAGTTTTTAATGAACCCCGTCGCTTGCCACTCTACCACATATCGCTGCTGACCACTTGTCAGAAAGCCCCCTATGAACCCGAAAAATATGCTAATTACTTGATGATATCCGTGTATTCAAATAACCTTTTTCCGGAAGTGCTGTATCTCTGTCCACAGGCCTCGGCAGGAAAATCGGACAACGGCATCGTGTTCTCCGTAGTCGATTACCCGGGGGTAGCCGCGAGCGTTTTTCGAAATTCCAACCTGTGAGTGTGCCCTTCCCTTGTAAGGCGAGAGAGCGAGAGAGATAGCGAGAGGGTGGGAGAGGGAGAGCGAGAAAGAGAGAGAACGGGCGAACACACAACAAACGTCGAATTGGAGCCGCCGGGCGGATACGCAGAGCACGCGGGGCACAACATACCAAAACAAGCGCCCCGGGCGATGGCTACGCTACACAACTATCCACACCGTATGTAAGGAGAAGTGTGTCGGCGTCTCGGGTCTCTCTAGCTCTCTCACTGTCTCTCTCTCACTCCCCATTGTTGACTATTTGCCACTTTCCCTCTCCCTATTATTATAACCTAGGGCCAAATGGCGAAAACTACTGCTACCCTTGCAGAAAAACGGCGGAGAAATCAACCCCGAAAACAACAAAAATTGGATCCCCTGGTTGGGCATACGGTAGTGCTTCAGGGGGAA